ATAATTTAAAAAAAAAAAAAAAAAAAAAAATTAAGTCTATTGGTTTTTCCAAAGTCTAAAAATAAATTTAAAAAACAGGGGTATAAATAAGATAAAATATCTTGTCTTCTGTTCATAATCAATTGTCATGTCGAAGAAATACCACTCTTTGATTTTAGAAGGCTATGATTTGTTAATGCAATGGATAAAACAACACGAACAACCTCTTCCTCCCGAGGCAGAACAAGTCTTTCAGAGAGCCACTACCATCATAGAAACCATTCAGGACTTATGGTTACAATGCCTGGCCCTGTTACATCATCCAAACCTGGGGAGACTAGCTACACTGCATTTTCTATGTCAACGCATGAAAGAAACTCTGCCCCAGAAATGGTATGGGTTAAGCCTGACCCACTATCTCGGAAAGCCTTACACTTTTTTATGCCATCCCCAAGCAAGGAAAGTGATTTTACTCTACCAGGAAATAGAATCGATGGAGAAAATATGCATTCAATACGGGATGAAATATCTGGAAATTTCAGAGAGACTAAGAAATGTGTGACTTTTAATACAGACTTGAATGAAATTCATTATTTACCACCCGAAGATCGGAAAAGTGAATGGATGGCTCTAGTAGCCGATCGAATGAGGTTTCAACGCAGAATTCAACATTTGGAACAATTGTTAAACCAAAAAAAATAAAAGGATGAAAAGACACTAAGCTTTTTGTTATTGTTGTTGTTTAGTAATGACGTCATCATGTATCCGTTAGACTCTGAGTCTATAAAATCCTGGTTTATTTAAAAATCTAAACTTTCCCACTGCAAATAAAGTGTATACAATTTGTTTTTAAACCAATCTGATTCTCTTCATCTCAAAATTTTTATCTGAAAAGGTCAGGATCGAAAAGATTCTTATATTCCCTATACAAGTCTATACATTTAGACGCTGGGATGTTTTGTTCTTATTTAAAAATCTAAACTTTCCCATTGCAAATAAAGTGTATACAATTTGTTTTTTAACCAATCTGATTCTCTTCATCTCAAAATTTTTATCTGAAAAGGTCAGGATCGAAAAGATTCTTATATTCCCTATACAAGTCTTATACATTGATTTTCTGAAAATGGCTGACCTTTGACCTCCCTTGTGTTTATCCCGAAACCGACGCTAAGTTTATTTTTACACTTGTAACGATTCTTTTGATCTGAAAACTATACCGACACTCTTCCCTAAGTTCAATCTTATTGTGTGCAATAAGTTTTCTTTGTGTTACACTCTAAAAAGTCTAAAACGACTTATTTTATGTATTCAGGTCAGTCAAGGTTGACCCTTCGCTTCGGGATGAATGAGCCTGTTCTAAACAAGGGAACAATGTCATGTATGAAAAATACTGTGAAATCATTCTCAAAACTTACCTTCATTCTTTTACTAGAAGGTTTGAATGTATATATAATTCCATAATATGTTATTTACTCCAATAGAGGTATTCACAAACACAAATAACACAATTTTGATTTTTCCATGATTTTCTGAGCTCTTCTTCATCCGGGCTTTTAGGGTGCTCTCTTTTCGGCTCGCGCTGTGTGTATAAATACCGACGCTGATCAGCTGTTAACTGTCATTCGTTACCTAGCTGATTTCGGCCAAACAACGAAAGCATCATGTCTCTCTTTACAGAGAACATTGCGATACAACCTGGAGTGGAGGTGATTTTGCAGATGATTGTCAGGAGCCAGTACACCGGGGAGGAGTATGCCATCTTTAATATGGGGCGCATTCGCGTGGGAGATCTGAACACCTTCATCTCCACCAACAACACCCGGAGAGCCAGACCCACTCCTTATGCCAGGTCTTCGCCAGCAGCAGCAGCAGCAGGGCGCAGAGGGGAGCCACGGCCCATCTATCATCCGAGGCCAGAGGAGGAGGGCAGGAATTTCGACCTGCCAGACAGTCCGGAGTCCTCCCCTTCATCGCCGGCCAGAGCACTCCACCGTCTACTCAACGGGGCTTCATCACCATCACCGCCCCAAGACCGAGCGGTCTTCCAGGGATGTATCCCCTTGTGGGGGATCGAGGCTGCTGTGGCGGAGGGACACTGTGTTCTCTGTCTGTGCGACGAGGAGCTCTCGAACTTTGTATGTGGTCGATGCCGCCAGAGGCCAGCCTGTTTCCTCTGTGCGGCCCGCCTCATCGACCGAGGAGAGGGCTGCCCCCTCTGTCGATATGGGTGCCCGGAGCCCGTTGTTCCTGGCCCCCCTCCCCCTCCAACACCCAGGAGAGAGCTTGGAGTCAGAGGTGAAAGAAGAAGAACAGACAATGGGATTGCGACAGGCCGTGGCCGAGGGCGACGTCCCAGGGAGTAAACCCTGAAGAAAAAAAAAACAACAACGGTCCTTTTAAGGACCAAGTCCCAGGGAGTAAACCCTGAAGAAAAAAAACAACAACAACGGTCCTTTTAAGGACCAACCCAAATTTTACGAAAAGATACCTTTTTGATACACGGTTATAAAAGAAACGTATAATAACACCAGAGGTCACTGTTTGTTTGTTTTTTTTTTTTTTTTTTGCTAAACTCATAAACACTTAAAATAAAATTATTATTATTTTTTTCTTGTCAACTCATATCATTTATTTATTATTCGATTGTAACAACAAACAAACAAAAAAAAATCTATAGACTTTCCCATGTCCAATAAAAAAAAAGTAAAAATACACATGAAAGACAGTGATTTTCTCAAATCATTAGGGAATGTGTTTAAGTACGACTTAATTTTCTGTGTTTATGCCGCCATGATACTCTCGCGGCAAGGTTTTTTTTTATTCCTCCTGTTCAAGGCGTGAAATCCACGCTGTAAGTCGTTCAAAGTTTTTTACACATTGTTTATTGTTGTGATTATGTTATCCCTCACCTATATGTTTTAATGTCAGCTATGCTAATGAACCCAGTTCTGCATGATTTTGAGATAATGGTTTGTCATGTGCTTAAAGTATGGCCTGCTATTCATGTCATCATTTATGGTCCATAGTAAATAAAGTCTGTATTTATCTTTTTAAAAAAATATATTTTTATGAATGAAATTTCATTGATTCCAGTATAAGTTAGGTCGTGATATATATATTACTCTTTTTTATTCCATTACATTTAAACATGCATTGTTTCATGTAGTATTTTGTCATCATAACAAAAATGGATTTATTTCTACAGTCCTCAACATGGAATATATGCTTTTTTTTTTTTAGGTTCCTAACCATCTATAATCAAGTCTCTATGAAGTGAAGCCTGGGCTGTACTCTTCCTTTTGGAAAAACACACACAGTCAATCATCCAACATATAGAAACAAACAAAACTTTGAAGTTTTCAATGAGATACAAATTTTAATTCTGTTTTTACTATACATGTTTATATATATATATATATATATTTTTTTTTAAAAAATGGATAAAAAAATGGATAAGTCAAAGATAATTGATAATGTAAATTATAATACCATAGTTGGTAAAGATAGCAAGGTTTTTTATATCTCCAAGTGCTGAATTTTTCCATTTTTAATATTGACAATATATTACAGGGGGAAAAGAAAAAAAACTGTACTGTGAGCCAAACTGGATGATTGCATGGAATTATAAAAAATTCCTAGTGTTTCTACTGGGCCCCCCCCCCCAACCACAAGGATCTGCTTATGAGTGCATCAGACTGCTGTGGACCTTCTCACCTGTTTTTAAAATATATCTACTTTTGTGGAGGCTGGAGCATGGCACTTCATTCCTAAAAAGGTACTTTCAATAGCATCACGCCTACCCATATATTTCAAAAAGATTTATTTTATATCACATAAAAAACACACACACACAGTTAATGTTTATGAAGAATGTACACATGTTTGTCATAAGTGTGTACAAATTGTTCAATATAATGTCTATAATGAGTCCAATTTCCTCCAGCGAAGCCACATCCAATCTTGTAAGGAAAAGCAAAAGTTTTATAAGGTAAATTTCCCAATTCTTGTAAACAGGCTTGAAACCATTGCTCTCTATTTTGTGGGGTGTCCTGATAAGTGGAGATTCTTTTAGGTCTGTGACTTGCTCTGCCATAATCCCATTGAGCTAATAAACAAATGACCACAGGTGTTTGTGAGGAAAACACCCTAATGGTTCCTGGCTTATCCCTGTCCTCTTCTAAGGCTAAATTTCTAGACCCTAAAGGTCTGCGGGTGGCATACAAATTCGCTTGAGGATATTTATCTGCTATACTTTGACTCAATCCATGAGCTCTGACTGTTAAACAGTTACATTGATGTACGATAGCTTCTACAGGAATGTTTAATAAATCACCCTGTATCTCCTGGAGACTCATGATCAAATGAGGCTATTTTTTTCTTTTTCTTTTTTTTATATACCTTTTTTTTCTATCTATATTTAGTATCATGGGGAAAACCCCCCCTTTTTTTAAAAAAAAAAAAACAACAACAAGAACACATTTTTTTTTTTCAATTCTTTTTATTGATAACAACAATTAATTACATGACATTTTGATAGAAACATTGACAAGTTTGTCCATGACCCGTAGGTCTTTTATGATAAGTGTCTTTAAACCATTGAGCTACATAATGATCTCTTTGTAAAGCTGTAATATGGTCAAAGGGGAATAACCACTCGTCTGCTTTCTTTCTCAACTTGTGTCTTTGATGTAAATAATACACACAATATTGTCCACACACATCGGTCTTCCAATCTTGATATCGATACGGATTATAAATCCATTGGTGAGCATGACGCTGGATAAAGTCTTGAATTTCTTTCTGTAAGGGAGGAAATCCATAAGAGTCAAAATATTCCACCACTGGACTGCTCACGTACAGACACACCCAGTGTTCTCCAGGTTGATCTTGAGGATCCGTATTCACCACGATGGCTTTTTCTCCAAGTCTTAATTGATCCGGTAATATATCCAAAGGGTACACTCCACCAAAAGAGCTCTTTAATTCTCTGGATAAGACTTCTCTCAACTGTCCCGTATCCATTAGTAATCAATACTGACTTCTCTCTGTTTGTTTATTTCTAACAGGTTATCGAATTCTGCATACACCACACAATTTAAGGTGTTCACCGTATTGTTCGTAAATTGGACTTCTATTCTCAGATTTCCGGTTTCTATGATGTGGAATTTGTCCGATTGCGCTTCTTGATCTTTCGTGAAATCCCAGCCCCACAGAGTGTATCCGTTTTTATACTCTTCTAGGGTGATGTCCGGAGCCCAATCTTCTCCTAATTTTCCCAAGGCTTGATATAGACTCAGATAAGATCTCAGATATAAATCTTCATTGAAATTGGGCTCAAAACAACGAGTACTCATGGTCTCTCCGTTGATACTGACATCTAATTTCTTAATTCCAAAGCTTTGAAAATGAAACGGATTTTTAGTTTTATCTCCGTTAAAAGCCGCATTTTCCACAAAGCCTAAAATGAGACGTTTAGGCATCTGGCCTTGAAACAGATGATCCGTAATCTTAGATTGAGTTCCTGTCAGTATGGTAAAGGTTTTCACTTCGACTCTTCTCAAAGGATATTTGGCTCTATGAGTGTTCAAACTTTGATTAATGCCATTCATCATGACGGCCGTGGGTTTGACTTTTCTCACCCACAAGACCATGTTCAATATTTTCACTTTTCCCGTACTTAGTGCTTTGATCATCATATAGAACTGAGGTCTAGCTCGATTAAATCTCAAACGGACGTCTACTCCATTGGGTAGAAATCGGTCTTGTTGAAATAGATCCAGATGTAAACGATCAAACAAGGCTATTTTCTTACTATCTTTGATGGCCTGGTGACGTTTTCTAAATCCTTCGTTTCTAGAATTGGCCGGTAACTCTGGGACGATGGGTTCGTCAATGGTCACAGTATCGGCACCACCCCCTGAACCTGGGGTTACATCAAATGTCTTATTTTGAGCCACTCCAAGGTCTGCTACCCCCACTTCGTCCATGTGTCCTGCCGTATCTTTTTCCCACAGACTACAGGCTCTCATCTAGGTCATTAAAGTTCTGGGTTTGTAAGAAAGTAATTTCTCCAGATAAGCTTTGTAAGGATAAGTATCGGTTCCTGGAGACACTATTTTTCCATTGACACTGAGATCGATTTCCGTAAACAAGGAATGAAGGATATTATTCACCGGGGCGCAAGTGGTGTTAGCTCCAGTCAGATCACCACCATCCTCTTTGGTGAATTTACACACCATTTGAACATACGTTTGAGATAAATCCAGATATTGATCTCCTTGTCCTTTAATTTCAAATTCAATGGGAGCCGTATCCGAATTTAAAGTACTAGAAATGGGGTAATATTCTTCCCATTTGGAGTCTTCTAAAGCAATATTAGTCGGGCGGACTTGGAACAATTGGAAATTGTTCATCCCACACGCACAGGAATCTGGTTGCAACATGATGTCTGTCTACTAAGATGGATTTTTCACAAATGAAGGTCAATCTCACTCGACTCCCCTATTTATAGTGTCTCTCAATCAAAGATATCTAAACCCCTTTTTCTCTTCTTAGGACCTCCTCGGGCTAACACAGGTGCTTTTTTTCTTCTTCTTCTTTTCTTACCGAGATTCAATCTTTGTTTCAGGGCTTGTACTCCGTGAGTTTTGACAGCGTCTTTTAAAGATCTCTTATTTTCTAACACATCTAACCCCGTTCTAGCGGCAGCAGTCAAGGCATGTTTGGCTCCCGTTTTCAGTAAATTTCTCACAACTCCTCTCCCTCTCTGCCCTCTTCTTGTTTTTCTTCTCCCTTTACCTTTTTGACCTTTCTTATTCATCTTTTTAAAAGCTAAACTTCCTCCTCTATTGAGAGCAAATAAGCCCGTATTTTTAACGGCATTGAGTCCATGAGTTAAAAGAGCATTTTTGATATTTTTCCTTTTTTTAATCACATCCGCTCCTATTTTAGCTCCGGCAATCAAGGCTTGATTACGACCCATTTTGACTAGATCTTTAAGAAATCCTCGACCTCTTTGTCGCCGCCGGCCTGAGCCTAATTGGACAGCTTCTTTTAAAGTCATCCCTATAGGTAGGTTCGGTACCATTCCCGACAAGAAGTCTATAAAATTTCCTCCTCTTTGAGATTTCAAATACTGGCGAATTCCCTTTAAATGGGGTGGAAGAAATATGGATGGTATTGGTAATCCAGTAGGATTAGGGGTAAGGACTCCAGCCAATCCAGAGATAATTCCACCTACAACACCGTGTCCTTTTTGACGTAATAAACCTCTATGATAGACAAACTGTCCGTGTCCTCTTTGTCTCAATAATCCTGGATGATACTGCATGTTTTCATGACTCGTGTCAGACTGACCTAAATGCACTCCAGGGACTCCTTTTTATACCCCTCCTGTCTTAAGGTTGAATACAATACAGACAGCATATCAGACAAGTCATCACTCCCAATAGGATGTAACAAAAAAGATGTACACTCATCTCAGTACACTTTTCTGAAATGAAGTTTCACGACCGATTTTCCATTTAAAAAAGGCATGGGAGTCCCTAAAGGAGTCATGATATGAATCTCAATGCTATCGAAATGTTTTTTACTCAGTTTCAAATATTCCGCTCGAACAGGTTCCCATTTAGCTTGTTTTTTATCTTCCAGATTGAGTGTACAAGGAACCACTCTTAATAATTTCAAGGCATTGGATCCTACCGTCTGGGGTTCAATCAAGTCACAATACACGTACATGGAATTCAGATTTCCATATAAATCGACGTTATGGTTGCCCATGTAACTCACGTTGATCCATTTGGTTTCTGTATGGTTCTGAAGCATCACCTTCTTACTTTCTATTCCTAACTTATAAGCTAAGGCTGTGGGAAAACGAATGCATAAGGGATTTTTTCTAAGTTCTCTCCCCGTAAACTGATACATCACTTTATCATATTTGTCATGATAGACTAATTTCATGACATTCTCTTGTCTAGGATCACCCAAAAACTTCCATAATTTATTCAAAGTTCTTTCCAGTCCAAGACTGATTTCATTTGTTAAAGCCATGGGATGAATGAAGGGCCCCGGTCTAAAGTGAATTCGTTTAATTTCCATCTTCTGGTCTTCCGTTATGAGATTAGCAAATTCAGTATGGTCCCAATCTAACAGTACAGGACATTGCCTTAATGGCAGCGCCTCTATGCTTTTCATTTTAAATCTGCCCCATTTAAAGGCACTAGGTTCTTGGAGTTTTGGAACATAAAGCTGAGGAAGCAGGATGTCAAAATAAGCTTCCTCTTCTGTGATGTTTTTCAATGAAATGGGATACATCAATTCTGTTAAAGCCACTTCCCATTGTCTATCTGTTAAATCTACTGTTTGTGGTAATAAGGTTTTAAATTGAGCAGTCGTATTACGGCCATGTTCAGTGAGATACTGAGACAAAATAACTTAGGACCCTTCTATTTATAACAACACTTTTTTTTTTGTTTTTTAAAAAATTTATTGAGTTTTTTTTTTTTTTTTTTTACACTTTTTCTTCTTCTTCTTCTTCTTCTGATCTGTAATCAATCACTCTGTCTAAAACACCAAGTCCTTCCTTCTCCATATTGTCTTTGATCTGGGAAAGGGGGATGCGACAATACACATACTGTTTAACGTCGTGATAATCTGAAAATTTCAGTTCTCTTTTCTTCATCTTGAAAAAATGTCTCACACACTCTGCTATGTCGGAGTACCAGAGACTTTCGTTCAGAACCAGAGTCATCGGTGTCGAACGATTCATAGGATGAGTACAGCTGACCCATTTATATTGCTCGTAATGCTGGTTGAATTTCACCCTCACTCTAGTTCCTTTAGGATGCGGGATTTTGACTCTTTTTTCCAGCCACACGTTTTCCAGGGAATGTCCTGGATGATTTTCAAAGAAATCCAGGATCGCTCCTTCCATGTAAATAAACCGAGTGACGGGGCTCTCACAATACCAACGATACTGCATCTTTTTAAAACACGTCTGACTTGGACAATGAACTTTTTCAGAATGAATGATTTTTTTTGGGTCATACCTCTTTATATAACCTTATCCAATCTATTTTTAGCATCTCAGGAAAAACCAAACAACAGTTTTTTTTTGATTTTATGATTTATTTCCTTCATATCTACATAATGGACAAAGTCTGTAGCAAATCTTGACGAAGTTCTCGACACATTTCACACAGCATGGATACTGTCGGCATTGTTGGCACTTCCATCTCCCCTCCGTATTTTCCTCCCAGCAGGTCAGGCATTTCTTTAAGGCTCTCTTCCTGGTGACTTTGACCCATAGGGGCACCATATTCTCTGCCCTGTACTTCCATGTGAAATATTTCACGCACCAACTACATCCACAGGTCTCCATGGAAGGGGGATCATCCACAAACCAGTGAGGAAAAGCCATTTCACAATGCTCGCAAAATTGATAAGTTCTGTGATGCCATCCGGGATGGTCATACACCGTAAATGTACGCTCATGGATCATCTCCCTATCACAGTAATGACAGTAATACTTTTCTACCTCAAAGAAATACTTCAGTCTCCACATAAAAATCATGATGAAATGTGGTGGTAGTGGTGAATTTTTTTTTTTTCCAAAAAAGCTCAGCTTTAAATACCTTTGGATCTGACTATTTATAGTCGCTTTGAAAAAACCCACACGTGCTTCACACGTTCTTACTCTATTTAAGTCTATTGGTTTTTCCAAAGTCAAAAAATAAATTTTTTAAGTCTATTGGTTTTTCCAAAGTCTAAAAATAAATTTAAAAAAACAAAAAAACAAAAAAAAAAAACAGGTTTTTACCTAGGGCATAAACTTGGCACCGATTCAAGTCATCAAGCTGCCTATTGTGACGTCATCACATGTATTCAGCTGAGAAAAATAAGACCTGGTTTGTTTATAGTTTTTTTTATTATTATTATTATTGTTCAAATCGACACAAGGGACGATTTCTGTAAGAAAGCCGTATAATGGACTTGTAACACTTTTCACAGCAGGGATATTTCATACACTGTTGACATTTCCATTTTCCTTGGGTGTTTTCTTCCCAGCAGGAGGGGCATCTCTCGATCTTGGTATTTCTTCTCATGCGCTTAGCCCAACGTGGCATCATAAAATCAACCCCATATTTCCACAGGTAATATTTCAGGCACCAATCACAGCGACAATACCACAAACTAGGGGGATCGTCTACTTCCCAGTGAGGTATACGTTCTCCACATTCATTACATCCCCAATACCAACCAATAAGGTCGTCGTCGTCACTGTCATACTCAGGTAATCTGCTGATCTCTCTCAACTGCCTATGGCAATGAGGACAGGCACTATTTTCTTGGTGAAGAAAATACGACATTCTCCACACAGAAGGCATGATTGAAAAAAATGAGCACAGTGAACTCAAAGCTAAGATTTATATATACCTTGGGATATCTATTTTTAGTCGAAGCGGAAAAACCAACAACACCAGAATTTTTTTTTTCTTAGGTTTAATTCACAACAACAACAACAACATTAAATTAACAAACATGGAATACTTTTGCATAGTTCTTTTTGAATAGGAAAAGTTCTCCTCATGTACAAATATTCTGTTTCACAAGCACAGTCCATGATGTCGTATCCTTCTCTGAGCACTTTATTTACATAATCTTTGATACAATCTCGGACTTCTTCCATCCATTTCCCTTGAATCCAGGTCCTTGCTGGTGCCTCTGTTTTGTGAGCCAAGACGTATTTGACTTTCCATTTGAATTCCTGATACTGGGGTCGCCATGACCCTAATAATACTATTATGAGTGGTGCACATTCATGGTCCGGTAATTTGAATCTCTTATACAGGTACACATCATTGAGTCCTGTTTCTCCCGGATTCTTATCCATGAAATCTTGGATGCATTCCTCTTTGTTTTTCATCCATTCTCCTTTTTTAGTGGAACCTGTATGCTCTTGCATTTTCCAACGATACTCGGAGCTTAAAAATTCCATGTTGTGCTCTGTCCTCAGTCAGATCAGAAATGA